TAAATTCAGCAGGTCTCCTCTCTGCCACCTTGCTCTCACTTACATGCTCTGATGCTATCTTGCTGGGATTGCTGTGCCAGACCAACTGCAGATGCTTCCTCAGCCTGACAAAGGGCTTGCAAAGCCCGAAAGCTTGCAAAGAAGAGTTTTTCCAGCTATTTAAGTTGGTCTAATAAAAGATATCACATTTCCCCAAAGAACCATGTCAGTTCAAGGGGGAAAGAATGGCAAAAGATCTCCTGTGAAATCCACTTGGTAGGAGTTGGGGAGTTTTGCACTAAGAGGCAAACTCACCGTTCTCCCCACAGCAGGAAAAAGTGTGGAGTCAAATGCCCGGCCCAAAAAGAAGCTGGAAGAAATAATGAACAATGAGCTTGAAACTAACCCTCTAATTTAGGTAAAACTCCCTTTGACTTGCAACAAACAGCCCCCAGGTACCTGCAGTTCTCCTGACCTTTTCAGTCAGCATATTTAACCTGTGCTCCTGTCTAGTCTTTAATTGAGAAATTATCCAATTTAGATACCTGCAAAATAAATGCCTCTTCAGTGAAGCTTGAGCATCTAAAAAAAAATAAATGAACCAGGCCTTATTATGGGATGTTTGGAGCATATGTGGCTGCAAGTTCCCACTAGTTCTGGCACATTTGTTAAGCGCTGGATGTGCATGGAGCTGTACATGATCTGAACACAAGCCATTTCCTGCTTCAAACATGATCTGCCGTGTATGGTATAGCTTGAGGTGGAATTTAAAATGCTCCTTAAATGCTGTCACAGAGCTATATATCTTACACTGCTTTTTCTCAGTGTTATCCCAAGCCTGTTTCCTGTCTGGATCACTCTCAATAATGTCCTGGATCTGAACATAAAAGCATTATAACTCAGGCTCTCTCAAGGAGCTGGAGAGTCTATTAAAATCTGAATGATAGACCCAATTCTGTGCTGCTTTCCCTTAGACACTTCAGCTGTGGCCAGTGGTGATTCTGAATGAATAAATCCAGTGGACTCAGCGCTATGGACAGGATTGAACAATATTCTCGCCATAAAGACATTAACACCCCCAAATCTTCTACCTGGAAAAATTGGCTAATTGGGGAATGACCCTGGGATTCAATATGTGTGTGCTCACGCAGAGGTCTGGACTTTGCTTCCAGGTCTGCATTGAGTGATGAAAAAAGCCTCCAGGAAAACCTTCCTGGCGACCTACTGCTCCTCCAGATTATCTGTGCAGAGTTCACGTTTCCAAGTTGACGGATGGTTTGGGCTGCTTTTGTTTGCACTGAGTTAGTTCTTCTAGATTTAACTCCACTGGAAACAACTTGCTGGGAGATCTAGGTGGATTAGCAGCACTTCTAACACGTCGCTCACCGGTTTTCTTTGGTTGTTTTCCACACAGATTCACAGGCATAGTGTTACCCACATGTTCCTTGGAGATGAAGGGTCATGCTATTCTTGTCCTTTCAGCTGGAATAAATAGATTATGGACTGGAGCTGACTCCAGCCTGCAGAATATGTGACAATAAGGCGGTATATTGTTGTAATAACATACATGCAATTTTCCCAGAAGACTGGGTACAGAAAATGTGACTTCGTATTTAGAAGGAAGGATTTCCTAGGGTGCTGTCTTTTATTGGACCAGTGGTGTGGTTGGGATAGGGTTAGACAAGTTTTGAGTGCAAAACATCCTTCATCAGAAGAAGGAAAAGATGGGTGCAATGTAGTCTGCTTTACACATCCAGAACTCTCAGGGACTTCACTTGTGCAAGGAACACAAGCTCAGGTCACAAATATCTACAGAAGCTATGGATGTCATTTAAAAAAAAATCAGATATAAGCCTTTCCTCATTGAAAAATGCTATGGATTACGAGGTTATAAAACTCACCCGAAAACTGAATAATGCAAACTCCCATTCCTAATTCTGTTCCTTTTCCACCCCCACGACCTGTAAATCAATTGCATACTGTTAATTTTATTTGCTTCTTTAAAATTGATTTTTTTTTTTTAATGGGAAGAAAGCATTTATATTAATGGAATCCCTGGGCCGCCAAAGACACTGAAAGCGTCGGCTAAAATGTAAGTCACTGACTTGTAGAAATATGAGAGAAGCAGGAGAGCTTTACGCAGGCACAGTCATCGGAGGTGTCCTGTCCAGGCCCAGCATTCACAAAAAACAGTCACCTTAATGCAGGAAGCAAATTAAGAGACCAGATGATCCTTACCCCAAATGTAGATTGAAAAATTCAGGCTTAACGTCAAAAAGTATCCTGGAGCACAGGTATCTGATGATACGCGGCACTCCCTGGAAAAAAAAAAAGCCTGATTTAGGCATAGTCTTGCAAACCAGACTCACTATAATAACCCCGTTGCTCTCAGGAAGTAAGATTTCTGCCTGCCTCACGATACGTTGTCTGCAAGTGGGAATCCTCAAAAGAGATGAGCTATTTGAACTAGCAAAGGTTGCAGAATTAAACCTTTGCTTAGGTTGAGGAAGTGCTGGAAGCATTTTGGTTTCTCCTGTTTGAACCCCTACAATCTTGTAATATATTTTATATACGAGAAAAAAAGAGGGGGAGGGAGACTGCTACTGTCATATTGCACAGCTGTAATATGAATCTTAGAACGATTACGGGCATTGATGTATTGCTCACCAATAGGCATCACTATTTTTACAGTTTGTTTATTGTGAGAAAAGAAATGACGTGGTTTTTCCTTTTTTTTTTTTTTAAAGCAAATACAACCTTAAGAGGAGGGGAAAAAAATTAGAGAAACAAGTACTATGGAAGTATGAATACAATAAAAATCATTTGACAGAGTCCCAATCACCACACAAATATTTCCAGTACCTATTGATTACAAAATGAAACCTGTTCTCTTCTTGATAATGCAGTGCCCACCCCGATGTGAAAGAACAGTTTACTGCTAGGCTAGGGAATAAAGAGCTTTGAACAGGTAACTTTTAACATTCGTGCTTCCCCCCCCCCCCAAAAAAAAATCATAAGAGAACATTGACTATGATCTTACTGAAAGGCTGGCGAGACCAGACGACACTCACCCTCACCAAGTGATAGAAATGCATAAGTTTAAAACAGGGATCCTGGACGCAGATTAAAGCCGAGATTTTATCAAACGTAGCTGCCGAAAGCAAGGCCCTTAGTATCTGATTTGCAGTGACTTGCACATCTCCCCCTACCCCCGCCCGCGAACAGGCTTCCAATTCAGCAACCGTCCCTGAGTGCATGCTTCGGGGACTTCAAGCTGAATTTGAAATCCCCACCGCCCTGTGTTTGTCTGCAGCTGCATCAGGCTCTGACGGTCAGGCTGAGCACCACAATCGTGACGGAAGTCAGAGACAGCCGCAGCATCTATCAACATGAAGTTGTGCTTACTTAAGTATGGAGCAGGAGGAATAAATTCAGGCACTCAATTTCTAACAGACTGGGGAAGATTTTCAAAGGTGCGCACAAGGCTGTCAGGCACCCGACCACCACAGATGACCGTGGGAGCTGGGTGCACATATCCATCTGCGCTTTTGAAAATGTCCCTATGGGGCTCAAATCTTAATATGAGATCATTAAATTAAGTTGAAATAAAAGGCACTTCCATCTGTGTTTAGGTACCTAACTTTAGACACCTACATTTTAAAACTCAGGCTTATATCTGGGGGGAAAAACAGGTTATATATCATCCCCCCTTTTCTTTTTCTGTTTACTGTATTAATTATTCGAATGTGAGGCCTCCAATACTTAATGCTTGAACATTCATGTCTCAAGATGTGAAATGACAGAACACATGGCCACGTAGTAGCTTGACACCACAAATTCCCTGCCTTATTGGCCATTTCTTCCTGCTTCTTGAGTGCTAAAATTAAAAAAAAAGGAAAAGAAAAATCATACTTCACAGAACATGGGTGTCAGTGACGGAAGTTATTTAACACCGTATCCCTCGAGACCATTTTTCACTGCTTCAATTCAGAAAAGCACTTCTGAAGTCAATGGGACTACTCATCTGCTTAAAATGAAGCATGCAGTTAAGTGCCATGCTGAATCAAGGCTTTCAGGCTTTGGGAGCTTTTGCTGTTAGTTTGAAAGGTTACAGGTCTTCAAACGGGTGCTTTTAGTGTGAATTTAGAAAAAGACTTATTTAAACATTAGCTGACAAATTTATTTGAAGTCTTGAAGAATTTGATCATCAGAGAGAAAGAGAAGATATAAATAAAGGACACTGGACGTACACATAATCTACAGTTAATTCAATATTCAGCTTTACAGGTAACAATATACATATTGTTTTGCCTTTCTTCACAATCAGCTTTCACGATACCTGCTGTGAAATACACAAATGCCCGGGATGGAGAAATGTGATGGTGATGGCAAACGCAAATGTGTGCTCCCAACAACGTATGAAGAACAGCTGTAACTCAAACAAGCCTAACCAAAACGCTGACGGATCAGTCAGTCTGAGAAGGGATTTGGCAACAAGACAGTAGGTGCAACTTTGAAAAGCTTTGCAAAAAGTCATCATAGATGAATCAGTAAAGAAAAGCAGAAGTTTCACAACCCAGAGCAACCAGCGCTCTGGAGTCCAGGAAAGAAACTCTGGACTCCAGTGGGAAAGAGTAATCATTTGGTCATAAATACATCTATTCACAGCTTCACATTAATAGAGAAAGAATAAAGCTAGCAATCTACAAATCAAAGAGGTGAAAAGCAGAATTAACTTATGCTCCTTGTCATACAAAGGAAAGGAGACTGTTAATAAATGATTGGCATATTCAGGACCATTTAAATTTAGAAAAGATCATGTAAATTCAAAAGAACAACCAAAAAACATCATATTGTGGTGCTGCTTTTTTTTTCTTTTGTTTTGTTTTTTTTACCTGTTGAAGAACAGAGAAATAGGTACATGGTTTTCTACCATGAATTTCTCAAGTGATTCATCCTTAACGTTTTTCTCCTCTAGAAATATAGATATTGTCGCTTCTTTGACAATGGTTGAGATTTTTTTTTAAAACAAAAGCCGTGGGCGCGGGTAAGTGATGAAGTGAGTCCTTGCTCCGGAGAACGCACTGACAACAGAAAGCAACACACTTCACCAGCTCTGTAAAGCACAAGTCTCGCCGTTCGGTAGACGCAACGGCCAGTTTTGCTGGGATGGATTTGAAGCCAGTCCTTCTGATGTGATCCCTCAGTCTATTGTCTCTTGCTCACCCACTGCTGGGCTGCCTTCGGAGAGCACATCTGCCTTTCTTTCTCCAAGTAACTATCTTTTCTTCACCTCTCGGAAGTTATTTTTTGCCCCAGGAGTAGCTGAGGCTCAGTAGCCCAAAGTCCTTTTCCTCCCCACCCCGCCCCCCTTGTATTGGGTCCTGTATCAAAATTGGGCATGATCGACTTCATCTAGCCAAGAGGCAGGACTTGCTGGGAAATCTGGGTACCCTCCACTGCTTCCCGTGGAGAGATCTGAACTGGGTCCATTCCCACCTAAGACTCTCATTGGCTGGGGAACACCTTGTCCTCCTTGAGCCATGATGCCCAAACCGTTGTCTGGATAAACCAAGCTTGAGAGTAATGGCTGGTGACCTGGTAAGGCCTGCAAAGAAGCAGGCGACTGGGGTATCCCATAGGGGCTGTTGGATCGGAGGTCGTGGTACTGGTCCTGGGCTGGGATGCCAGCATGTTCCAAGGAGAAGCTGCCGTTGGTCCCAGCTTGTCTCCCCAAAGCAGGAGACGCTTCATTTAGGTTGCTGTAAATCCCATTGGAGTGACTCATTTCTGACATAGTGGGTTCGTCTGAAAGGGAAACGGGCTGGTTTTACTGGGGATGCAAACTGGATGGAGACAACATGATCAGAAATCTCAAATGCCATGCTAACAATAGTAATAATTGTTATAATTATAATAATAAAAGACAGAGGGCCTAGAGATGTGGCATGTCTTACCCAGCCTTGTGAAGATGTTAGTCTAGCCACTTCGTTAGTCTAGCCACTTTTTAATTTTTGTTCTATCTAGGGTCAGAGAAGCCAAAGGGATTTTTTTTTCTGAGCACAGGTGCTACAGTCTAAATCATCTGGGCTTTTTTTAAGTGTATGGAACAGAGCTGCTAAAAATAAGGCTGTAACTAAATAAATATGTACTTGAAGGAAAAACTGAGCCAAGGCACTTGAGATCTGCCTCTTTCTGTTGTTGTGCTTTGTTCCTTTTCTGTTTGGGGATTTTTCACTACTGCTCAAAGAGCAATAGGAACCTCACTGATGTTAGGGAATAGGCCAAAGAAAAACTATCCATTACTCAGGAAAAGCAATTAAAATCTCAGTGGCATTTGGTTGCTCAGAAACAGGCGAATGCAATCGAGTTGGATCACTTAAAAAAAAAATCAGTTCCTTGCTTCGTTACCAGAAAACTGGTAATTGCATTTATTAGACCCTTTACTGCAATTGAGCTAGATAACCTAGTATGTAAACCTGTTTGTAGTATTAAGTGAGTGTTTAATATTTTCCTAGCAAACTCATGGGAACTTGACAGTGAACATTGCTGACGTGCAGCATCATGTATGAACAGGCATGAAAGTCTAACACGGTGGCAGGGACACAACAGACATGCTGAAATTTCAGACTGCATATATATAGATGTAGATATCTATATATCTAGATCTAGATATATAGATATATATAGAGATATAGTAGATGGGACACTAAGCCTGTGACCAAGGATTGCTAGGAGCAATTGGTTATACTTCCTGAGTGACCATGGCCAAATCACTTACAGACAGATTTTCAGAGGCACTGGTACTGCGGGTAGGAACTCAGTAGGAGACAGGGACCTGACTTCCTTTTAGTAAGTCTTCCTCCTGCGCTCATCTGTAACATGAGGCTAACAGAACTCCTCTCTCAGTGGTACTGTGTGGATACATGTATTAAACATGGGGAGGCAGCTGGAAACTAGGGTAACGTGGACCATATAAGTATTTTAAACAGAGGCACTAGATGCTACCGAGCAGTTAAGTGACCACCACCTTCACGAATGGGCAAAGGGACTCCCCAGCAACAAGTGCTAAGCCTGCAGCAAGCAACGGGGGTCAAGACTTCCTTCACCTGGGGCTGCATCTTGCTCACAGAACGATTTGCCGATGCAGGAAGGTATATACAAGCCCTATTGTAGTCTATTAGCTATAATTTCGGGCAAAGTTAGTGGAAGCTACTCATGTGCTGAAGATTAAGCCCTTTCTTGATTTAATTACACTTGAATAACATTTCTTCTCCTAAGAAGCTTGACATCCTGAGAGAAATACCCCAAAACAATGAACGGGGAAAAAAAACCCCCACTCAAAATAAATAGATGGAATAACAACCCCTTCCCCACTCCCCCTGAAAGATGAATAAGGGGAAACTTCCTAAATGTAGTAATTTTATGAAATAAAAATACAACAAAGAAATACTAAACAGGATAGAGAACATCCCATCTCACAGACGTCTTTCATATAGACGCACTATGCAGGCATTTGGGAGCGTTTGTTCTTTTGAACCGATTCATATATAAACTCCTTCCATAGAAAAAGTTTCTTCTGTCAAAGATCTCCTGCCTGGATAAATCCTAAGTAAGGTTCTTCTTGTTTTTTTCCTTTTACAATTGTGACATAGTCCATTCATTAAAACACTCCAGACTAAGCAGCCTGTGGATAGTGTCTCTCAAAAGCAACAAACCCTGGTCACCTGCTCTTCCAAACAGGAAGCCACTGATGGCAGTCCCTGTGTTGCCGACTGGAGATCCAGTTGTGGCTGCCTTTATTTTTTTTTCCTGGCATTCTTTTGCATTTTTGTTGTTCCCAGTTTGATTTACCTGCATCAGACATTTGCTTTCTTTGATTCTGCTGGGTCAGGAAGTGCTTAGCGGGTAAATGGCATGGAAAGAATTAAAGAAATGTTCAATGAAAAATACTGCTCGGAAGAAGTGCACGAAAACTGCAGCTGGGTAGTGATGAGTGACCCCCGTTCGCAGGGTCACCACGAGACCAGGCAACTTCAGTTTCCCTCCAGCCTTGAATTCTGCCCTGGTGTGATCTCTACAGCAAGCGTCACCCCAGATAAGTGCGCTGGAACCGCTTTCCTCTTACCTGTAAAGGACACCTCGGCATCGCTGTCCGGCCCTTCCTCCTGAATGCTGTCCTTGTCAGACTTGGAGCTCCCTCGGGACCGTTTCATATTCCTGAAGTACTGCCCCCACCGCTGCCTCCCCGCATCTTTCTTTAGCCTTTTTTCCTTGGCCCGTCTGTTCTGGAACCACACCTGCCCAGCAAAGCGAAGCAAAGGGAAGAAATAACCGGAGCAGTTTTTAATTTTCCAAAGAAAATTTGGGCTTCCCTTGTCTTGATGTGAACATGAATATTTTTTGCCAAATGCATTTCTTTTGCACCAAGGTGTTTGTTTGGGTTTTTTTTTTTAACGACACCTCTTTTTTTCAATAGAAAGACGCAATTCCCCTAATAAAAAAACCTAACCTGCATTTCAGGCAGTTCACCACTGCCCCTGCCCAATGATGGAAGTCAACGGGGGTCTGAACATGCACAGGAAATCATGAGTTTAGAGCCTTGGACTAGGGAAGACACTTGTAAGAGCTGAACTGCAATGATACAAAGTGCGAAGGTGCCATTTAAATTCCTTCAGGGTTATATTTAGTGCCCAAACTCAACATGGCAATGAATTTTATTAAAATGTTGATCATGTAAATAATTTCAACCTGCTTTGGATTTGTTTTTTTTAAGGAAAAAGGAAAGTGAGGGCAAGACCAACGAGACAGTGATTCCTCCCCCCCCCCATCAAAATTTAAAACGATGACTGGAAAAAAAAATGAAAGTGTTGCAACCCGCTTGAACAAAGAGGATCTTACGATAAATCCGCAATTGCGTGTAGCCACTACAGGCTCTCGGTGAAGTCTGTGGGGATGGTCTGGGCAGAGAGGCTTTGAAAAATTATTCCAAAAACATTCAGGAAAAAAATAATTCAGGGCCGGCCGGCTATCAGTGCTCGTGCAGAGGAATTGCGGCAGCGGGAATTAATCATGGAAGACTTCTTGGTTCAACCTCACTGAGTCCAAATAGCATGTAAGAGCCCATAAATATGTAAAGCTGATGATCTTAAAGGACTTTGGGGGATTCTGCAATGGGTGGGTGCAAGGGGCCCTGTTTGGGTGCATCTGGGGTACCCTGTCGCCAGGTGAACGCCTGGGGGAGAAGGCGCCACTGTCCCTTGTCTCACCTGCACGACTCTCATGTCCAGGCCAGTCTCTGAGGACAGCTGCTCTCTCACGTGCCTTGCTGGCTTGGGGGAATTGTTGTATGCATTTTTCAGGGTTTCCAGCTGTTTGGCCGTGATGGTGGTGCGGGGCCTCTTTGCCGTCGATTCTGCTTCTGCAAACATTTCCAAGACACGCAGGGTTATTTCCATGAGCCAGGGAGACCAGGAGTGGCTCATAGCCCTATGAAGACGGGCTCAGGGCCTGGAGCAGACAACTCCAGTTATGGCGTGGGGGCTGGCAGCAGTTTGGAAGGGCACTAAAAGATGCACTAGCCTGTGATTCCCCCCCCCCCTTTAAAAAGAAAATGTCCCTGGTATTCAGACTAGCAGATGGAAGGAAAGAAACCTAACTGCCATGCTGAGAGGGACCAAAGGTCTGTCCAGCCCAGGAGCCAGTCTCTGACCCTGGCAAGCAGCAGATGGGTTAAGAGGAACATAGAAGAAATAGGGGGAGTATAGCCTGCCCCACCCGCTGCCAGGCAGTTGTCGAA